TCCTTTGGAGAGGATTTAGCTCCAAGAGGCACAGACAGATCACAGCCTGTCAGCCTGAGAGGCTCTTGGCCTTTGGAGCATGTCCAGCATTATTTGCACCTCCCTGAGGTCAGCAGAGGTCACTGGGCTAAGGGCTGCAGTTTGGAATATTGCTGGAATGGTTCTGGCAGTCGGGTGCCTTTTGAGGAATCCAGGGGCTGGGCCAGATGGCTGCAGGGGCAGAGAGGCCTCCAGGAGTGTTAGCAGAGCAGAAAGTGGGTTTTTAATTCAAGGTGAGCTTTCTCTCTAGAAAGAGAAGAGAATTCTAGCTTTGAGTTGCTGCAGTGGCCTCCAGGCAGGCTGAAGTGTCTCTCTTTACTCCTCTCTGTAGTGGAGAAAGCACTGAGACAGCGTGAGGAGATTTCCTGCCAGGCTCCCTGACCCCACGCTTTGCTGTTTGGGGTCAGGGCTGGCACGTGCCAGGTCTGGCCGTGGGCAGGGTGCTCTGCAGGGCACAGGGCTCGGGCACAGCCCTGGGGAAGGTGGGCTCAGTGCCTGGGCGAGGAAGGAGGGGAGGAAGAGCTGCTCTTCCTCCTGTGCCAGGGGTGCCAGCCCTGCTCCCTGTGGGATTTTTGGGGCTCAGCAGGAGCAAGGCCAGCACTGGTGCTGCTGAGGCAGGAGCAGGGGACAGCTGTGGCACGCTGTGGGGAGCCTGAGCAGCCAAGCAGCCCCTTCTCCAGGAGATGCAGGTGCAAACCCTTTGGTGAGAGGTTTATTTCCCTCTTTTCCACGCTCCCACTGGCTCTGTGTTGGTTTGGAGCCCTTTGGTGTCTGCCCTGCTGTGTGAGCTCAGTGTGACCCCTGCCATGGCTGAGCTCCAAAGCCTTAACTCTTGTCCTGCCCAGCTCCAGGGATTCCCTGTCCCCTCGGAGCCCCTCGGGGCAGGCTGGCTGTCATTTCCATGAAATCCTGCCTGGCAGAGCTGCTGCAGGCCTGTCTTTGGGGTCTGTGTGCCAAGAGATGTTCCTGTGGGTGTTGTTCTGGGTATTAGAGATTAGAGAGAGCAATCTTTGTGGCATGTATCGCTGATTTCTCTGCATGTGTCCTTTCTGTGCACTTGTTTATGTCTCAAACTGATTTAAGAAACTTAAGTCTTGCCTTTTCTTCCTTAGACACGTTAAGAATTTGCTGATTCCACTGAGGGCAGCAGAGTCCTGGCCATGTCTTGTGGCTGTGCTCTGCCAGCTCCATCCAGGCACTGCCCAGTGGATTTTTCTTGTTCTTTCTAAGCCCAAGATTGATTGCTCTTCTTTCCTTTCACCTCCCTCTTCTTTATCCTGAAGAAAATTACCTTTCTGATGCTACTTTAAAAAGGAAAAACCACCCAAATGTCTAGTGCCTTTCTTGAGGGGACGCTGCGTGGCCAGGCTGGGTCTGAGGATCCACCACCCCTGTGGGGAAATGAGCAGAGCTGGACAAGCAGCACCAAACTGCTTTGGGAAGGGGTGAAAAGAGGAGCAGGAGAGACGGGCAGTGCTCACTGGGACTCTGACACTGTGTTTTGTAGCATTTCAGCCCTGGAGCTTCCGTGTCTGGACTGGTGCTGTGCCGAGCCTGGGGCCAGGTCAGGGTCGTGGGATGGGGTAAAAAATGCTGGGGCTGTCCTCAAAAGGAGCAGGGAACACTCCCAGGAGAGTGGGGAACTCCCAAAAGAGTGGGAAACACTCCCAGAAGAATGGGGAACTCCCAAAAGAGTGGGGAACGCTCCAAAAGAGTGGGGAACTCCCAAAAGAGTGGGGAACTTTCCCAAAAGAGTGGGGAATGCTCCCAAAAGAGTGGGGAACACTCCAAAAAGAGTGGGAAACGCTCCCAAAAGAGTGGGGAACACTCCAAAAGAGTGGGGAATGCTCCCAAAAGGAGCAGAGAACACTCCCAAAAGGAGAAGGAAACACTCCCAGCAGGAGCAGGAGCTGTGGGAAGTGGGAGGTGTCCCCCTGAGCAGGACCCAGGTGATTTCCTGAAGCTGGGGGTGTCCCCTTGGCAGGACCCAGGTGATTTCCTGAAGCTGGGGGTGTCCCCCTGAGCAGGACCCAGGTGATTTCCTGAAGCTGGGAGTGCCTCCTTGGCAGGACCCAGGTGATTTCCTGAAGCTGGAGGTGCCTCCTTGGCAGGACCCAGGTGATTTCCTGTGTTCAGAGCCCCCAGGAATCCCAACTCCTCCCCTTCCTTTGTGCATGTCCCTGGGCCAGCCCTCCCCAGGGCTCAGGGCCCCCTGCTCCAGACCTGTGACATTTCTGTGGCTCGTCCTGAGGCAGGCTCCTTACTGTAAATGTGGTTTGATTGCTTGGTTTGTTGGGTTTTTGTTCGTTTTTTTTTTATTTTTTTTTCAGTTGAGCAAGAAAAATGCAACTCCCAGGGTACCTTCTCAGAGGTGCCACTTTAAAGATTAGTGGGGAATAAGGACATTTATTTTTAAAGTTCCTCCTAAAAATCTTTTTTGTTTGAAATTCCCAGTGGAGGAAGAACTGCTGTTACTGTTGTTCTTTCTCATGGATGACAAATACCAATTTGTAAAATATCAGTGTTAAAAAATGTTGAGATTTTCACGAGATATTTTAAAAAAAAAAGTATAATAGTGTCATTAATATAAAATTATAATAGCAGTATTTAATCCTTTCAGATCTGTAAAGAATAAGGAAAAACAGAAGGTAAATATTCTTACAGAGAGTAGCTGAGCTTTAAGGTTCACTTGGTTTAAAGTCCTCATTTTGTTTGCAGATGCATTGTTAATGTTTAGAGGTTATACTAATGTTATTTATTAATTGTTTCCATCCTTGTATGCTGCCCACTAAGAGCTTCTTTGTTTGGGATTTCATTCACCTGTGTCAGTAAGAAAGAAAACAAAACAAAGTTTTATTTTTAAATAAAATTTCCTTTGTTGTAGCAGATGGTGTGTGTGTGTTGTGGTGCTTCTGTAAGTGCTGGGAAAAGAAAATTTTAGGATTTCAATCTCCTGGATCCTTTGCAGACTGACTTTGGAGTTATTTTATAATTATCACTACAAATTTAAATTTTAATTGATATTCCGGCCACTGACAGAGGCCAGGAAAGATTTATATAAAGATTATAATAATTAAACATTTTCTGAAAGAATCAATGAATGAAGACTCCAATCAGGACCAAGAAGAACACGAAGTTCCCACCCAGGAAGAGAATCCAAGGGAATCCATGGGAATATTCTGCAGACTTTTAAAGTTACTGCGTGGAAATTCTAGAAATAAATAAACTGATATCTCACACAATTCTAGAATTACATGTGCATGTATCACAATCCTAGAACAGTTATTAGAATATATCATGTATTATTAATAAAGATAGGAAATAATGATACGTATTTGAATCCATTAATTGGATACTCATTGATGTCTATTGATATATAGCAATACATTGATATTTTATCTATAAAGCAGATCTAATAAATCCAGGTTCTGCCACACTCCAACATTCCAGAGCCAGGAGGGGCCCAGAGATAAAATAACCAGGGACACAGGACCCAGGGGTCACATGGGGACCCCCAGCCAAAGCGGGGGTCACTGGGGCCACGGGGGACAGCTGAACTGGGAAAACTCCCAGGAGCCTCAGAATGGGGTGAAACCAGGGGAATTGGGTCAGATGGGGAGATGGGGTTACCTGAGGTCATCTGAGCCGCTCTTCGGGGTCACAGGGGTCATAATTCGGGTTACTTGAGGTCACAGGGGTCATTTGAGGTCATGAGCAGGGTTACTTCACAGAATCACAGAATCACAGAATCACGAGGTTGGAAGAGACCTCTAAGATCATCAAGTCCAACCTACTTGAGGTCGTTGGGGTCACTTGAGGTCACAGGGGTTACTTGAGGTCATTTGAGAATTTTTTTATTTTCCAGGGGTTACTTTGGGTCATTTGAGACCCCAAATCGGGGTCACTTGAGGTCACAGGGGTCATTTGAGGTCACGATCGGGGTTACTTGAGGTCATTGGGGTCATTTGAGGCCCTGACCGGGGTTACTTTAGGTCATAGGGGTTACTTTAGGTCATTTGAGGCCCCGGGTTACTTGAGGTCGTTGGGGTCACTTGAGGTCACAGGGGTTACTTGAGGTCATTTGAGAATTTTTTTATTTTCCAGGGGTTACTTTGGGTCATTTGAGACCCCAAATCGGGGTCACTTGAGGTCACAGGGGTCATTTGAGGTCACGATCGGGGTTACTTGAGGTCATTTGAGAATTTTTTTATTTTCCAGGGGTTACTTTGGGTCATTTGAGACCCCAAATCGGGGTCACTTGAGGTCACAGGGGTCATTTGAGGTCACGATCGGGGTTACTTGAGGTCATTGGGGTCATTTGAGGCCCTGACCGGGGTTACTTTAGGTCATAGGGGTTACTTTAGGTCATTTGAGGCCCCAATAATTGACCAAGGGCTGGGATGAGGACACAGGAATTAATTCTTGTGAGCTGGGGCCAAAGGACAAGGGACACTTTGGTGTCACCCATCGTTGGCCCTCTGTCCCCTCAGGGTAGTGACAGGGGCTGGTTATTAGCTTTATTAATATTTTCTATTCATTAGTAGTCAGTTTATTACTGTTTATTATCATCTTCTCTACACGTTAGCATCTACAGTATTGGTACTGGCTATTAATTAAATTATCAATAAATTCTACTATTAAATTCTATTTACAATATTATTTTTTGAGATTGAATGATATAATCACCTATTACAGCTGAAAACTAGGATTATTTATTATATATATAAATAAAATTATTTATTATTATTATTTTATTATTATTGTTATTATTTTATTATTATTATTATTATTATTTTATTATTATTGGTGGTGGTGTTGTTGTTATGGACAGATTTATTAGCACTGATATTAATTAGTGTATTATTAGCAGCCAGAGGGGCATAAATGGATCCTCTTGGAAGCTCCATGGGATTATGGAATGCCCTTCCCACCCTTCTGTCTGTGGGAACAAACTCCAGCACTCAGCTTTGAATCCGTACTTTATTTTCACATATATAAAAAAAAAACGTCGCAAGTATCGGACAACAACAAGGAGAAAAAAACAAAAAAAAAAAGGAAATAAAACTCCTGGAAATGTACACACAATCCAACACAAATATATATAAACCAAAGCTTTTGCTGGGACACCACGTGCAGCAGGAGGGGACAGCTCCTGTGTGACACCCAGGGGACGAAGCCTTGTGGGCAGCAGAGCTCAGGGTGGCACGGAGGGGCAGCAGGGGCTGGTCCCTCTGGCACGGGGCAGGGCAGGGCTGGCACAGAAGCTCCTGGCAGTTCTTGCCCTTCTCCCCTCCCCGCGGGGCCAGGGGTGGCAGCGAAGCTCAGAGAGGAGCTGGACCTGGGGCTGGCAATGGCTGAGCACAAAAAAACCCTGAGACGTCACTGACTGGCCCTGGCCAAGTTGGAATTTCAATCTGTGGGAGCTCCGGGTCCTGCTGCTGCAGCATCCCTACAGCGAGCCAGATTCAGAGGGGAGAGACAGCCCTGCCCCTGGGCTCAGCACAGCCCCAAAGCAGACACCTCAAACCTTCCTGGGGACTGGCACCCTGCCTTGCTCTGCCAGGCCCTCTCCTCCTGTGGGATCAACTGACCCAGGGATCAAAGACAAAGCAAAGCACTCAGAGCCTCTGAGGAGCTGCAAACACCTCCCCAACACACCCCCCTGCCTCTCCTCTCTCCTCCTGTGGGATCAACTGACCAGGGACGGTTCAAAGACAAAGCAAAGCACTCAGAGCCTCTGAGGAGCTGCAAACACCTCCCCAACACACCCCCCTGCCTCTCCTCTCTCCTCCAACCTGCACCCCCTACAGCTAAGGTGCCTCAGACATCCCCAACCCCAAATTTCACCAGCCTCTCTGAGCAAGGTCAGGGTAAAAAAGAATGCGTCGAAACCTTCCCACGACGTGTACAGAACAGATTACCTGAAAGAACCTCAAATCCTTCCACCAAGTAGGGATTAACGGGATATAATTCTTCCTAATATTGCTGTGGCTTCTCTGGAGTAGTAAAGCGAGTCCAGCTTTGCTGCTAAGGCAACACCTGCGAGCCCAGGGCTGAGGTAATGGCCAGGAGAGCCAGGGAGGTGGCCCCAGCGCGGTGACACTCGGCTGGCCTCTGGCCGTGCTCCCCAGGGGCTGCAGCAGGGGTGGGAGAAGGCAATCCAAGAGCAGGAAAGGTTGGAAGGAAGAAAGCACTTAGTGGGTTTGCTCTCTAGTTTCTCAGATCGATGTATTTCTCGCTCTTCAGTTCGGCCAGAAGGGAAAAGGAGAGGGAAAACGCACGGTTAGGGATGAGCACAAAGCCAGCCCTCTGCTGCAGGGCTGGCAGTGACACACAGGGGTGGGGACAGCTGGGGCACCCCAGGGTGGCTGAGCACCCACCCCAGGGGAGGGGAGTGGGAGCTGAGCACAGCCAGGCAGGGCTCTCTGCTGCCCTGAGGAAAAGAAAACCTCAGTGGGCTCAGGAAATAAAACCTCGGTGGGCTCAGGAAATAAAACCTCAGTGGGCTCAGGAAATAAAACCTCGGTGGGCTCAGGAAATAAAACCACACTGGGCTCAGGAAATAAAACCACACTGGGCGCAGGAGCTGCAGTTTTGGCTGGCCCAAGGTAAATAAAACCACACTGGGCTCAGGAGCTGCAGTTTTGGCTGGCCCAAGGTAAATAAAACCACACTGGGCTCAGGGGCTGCATCTTTGGCTGGCACAGATAGTGGTGGCCCAGCAGTGACACTGCAAAGCTGCTCCATCCCAGGTGAGGGGAACGCCCATGTCCCAAAAGACTGATCCCAAGATCTCTGGCCCAGGGGAAGCATTCCTGCAGCCTCTGCTCTGACTTCTGGCCAGACATCTTTCTATTTCAGTTCCTCCTCCCCTGGGGAGCCTGGCTGCTGCTCCGCGGAAGGAGGCAGAGCCAAGCAGGGCACTGCCACCAGCAGAGCTCTGTCACCTCCCAGATCTGTCCCCTCCCCTCCCTGCCGCGTCCCCCGGCGCTGCTGATGGATGATGGAGGCCCGTGCAGGGTGGGCAGTGCCGGAGGAGGGGAGCCAAGCGTTCCCTGGGCTCTGTCCTACCTGGTCAGCCGCGGCTCTCTTCTCGCCGTTGGCGCCCTGCAGGAGCCCCGCCTCTTCGGAAAGTTTATCTGACTTAACTTCAACTACAATCTTGTCTTTACGGGCCTCTGGCTTTGTGCTAGGGGAGGGAGGTGACAATTTTTGAGACGCGTCAGCGATGCCCAGGCGGGCACGTGGCTGGCTGAGCCCTGGGGCTCCATCTCGGGGTCAAAGAGACTCCAGCCCCCAGAAAGCTTTGGGGTGCCCAGGGAGGGGGCTCTTGGCTGCTCTAGCACTCTGCTGTCTCCTCCCTGCCCTGTGGGAAGCTGGAGAAGCCGCCGAGCCCCCGGCGCGGTGCCCCCCAAGCCACGCTGCCGCCCCGGGAGAGGGAGAGCTGGAGCAGTGGGATGGGATGGGATGGGAAGCGTGAGTGACATCAGGCACCCCCAGCCCCACAGGCCCCTGGGGGAATGGTGGCAGTGCTTACATGTCCTGCTTCCCGGCACGGCCACACGGGATCTTGCCTTTCTTGTGCAGGAAGTAGATGACAGCGCCCAGCACGGCCACCACGAGGATGGCCACGATGATGGCCACGATGATCACCCCTTGGCTCTCTGCTGTTGACTTTTGATCTAAACACAACGGGGAGAGGAAGAAATTAATATCTGTCCCACCGTGACCCCGTCCAGCTTCCCATCTGTGCTAGGAAAGGGCTCCTTCTCCCGGAAAAGCTCCAGCTGCCTGCAGGATGCAGATTTCAGTACAGAAATGCTCTGCTGGGGCAGTTTCTGTAGGAGCACAGCAATTCTGCTCTGGGCTGCCATGCCCCGTGTGCCACAGGAGGGTGGATAGCAGGAATTCCTGCAAGGCACCAGGCCAATCCACTCTGCTTCCTTGCCCAGCAGATTTGGGCTGCAGGAAGCTGCACTTGGTGGCCTCGCTGGGGACAGAGCCTCAGCCTCCTGCCCAGGGAGAGAAGCAGCAACAGAAGCAGTGCAGAGCCAGCAGCCAAGCTCCCTCCCCAGGCTACAGGTGAGCATAACCCATATCCTGATGGACACCAGCAGCAGACTGACCTTTCTTGATGGAATCATCTGGAAGAGCAGCAAGGGAGGGAAAGACACCAAACTCAGCCCCCCCTCAGCAACACGGCACAGCCGTGGGGGCCAGGGGGGACTGCCACTGCTGGGGGGCTCCTGGCACAGAGAGCAGCGCCTGACACTCACCCACCACCAGCTGGATGTGCTTCTCACTGACGCCCAGCCTGTTGGACACGCGGCACATGGCTCCCGCCCGCAGCAGCTCGTGGCTCACCCGCACCGTCAGGTTGCTGGCGATGTGCTGCTTGTCCACGTACTCGTGGGCCTGGGCAGGGCAGGCAGGGCAGGACTCAGCGCCTGGGCAGCCCCCGGGACACGCCAGGCCGGCCCCTCCCGGCTCTCACCGTGCCGTTGATGCTCCACTGGAGGGTGGGCGGGGGGAAGGCGATGGCCTTGCAGGTCAGGTTCACCAGCTCGTCCTGGCGCACGTGGAGCGGGGAGCTGATGGCCACGATCCGCGGCTTCCCTGGGGGCAGGGACATCAGCACCCACAGATCCTGAGGAAATGGGTGCTGGGCAGGGGCATCAGCACCCACGGCTCGCAGGGAAATGGGTGCTGGGCAGGGATATCAGCACCCATAGGTCCCAAGGAAATGGGTGCTGGGGCAGGCAGGGGTCACTCTGCACCCTCAATCCCCAGGGAATGGGTGCTGGGCAGGGACATCAACACCCAGAGCTCCCAGGGAAATGGGTGCTGGGCAGGGGCATCAGCACCCATAGGTCCCAAGGGAATGGGTGCTGGGCAGGGGACATCAGCACCCACAGCTTGCAGGGCAGACAGGAATCACTCTGCACCCAGGGGTCACTCTGCACCCACAGCTCCCAGGGAATGGGTTCTGGGCAGACAGGGATCACTCTGCACCCAGGGGTCACCCTGCACCCCAGGGATCACCCTGCACCCTCTCCCAGGGAAATAGGTGCTGGGCAGGGACATCAGCACCCACAGCTTGCAGGGCAGACAGGAATCACTCTGCACCCAGGGGTCACTCTGCACCCCAGGGGTCACCCTGCACCCCGGCCAGGTCTTACCCTCGACAGCCACGAACACCTTCTTGCTCTGCTCCAGCCCTGGCACGCTCGGGGCCATCACCTTGCAGCTGAAGTTTTTGGAGGTTTCGAAGGTGAGGTTGCTCAGGAAGAGCTGGTTCCCGTCCACCAGCTTCGTGCCCTGTTGGGAAGGAATGTCCCCAGCAATGAGCACTCTGTGCCCACGTCCCAAAAACACAGAGAGGGAGCCTGCAAGCACTGGATTGCCTTGCAATCCTGGTCAGGAGGTGACAATTTTGGGGTGGACAAAGCAGGTCCATGAAAGAGGGAATCCTTCCCCAGCCTCCCAGGAGAGATGGAGCACTGATTGCCTGACTTGCTGCAAAGCCCAGCTGAGCCTGAGCATGCCAGAACTGGGATGCCTACTCACCTCCTCATCCCTCCACTGGTATTTCAGGCCCACGGGGCTGTGGGCGTCACAGCTCAGCGTCACACTGTCCCCTTCACGGAGGGTGGAGGACGGCTCCATCTTCACACGGACCCCTTCAATGTCTAGGAAAGGGATGGAGACCAGGGCAGGGTGAGCAGGAGGGACAAAGCACCCACCACGAGGTCCACAGGGTCCAGTCCCCCCTCTCTTACAGTTCACAACGAGATCCACCTCCTCCTCTATCTGGGACATGTCATCCAGGTCCAGGGACTGGCACCTGTACGTGCCATTGCTGCTCTTGTCCACATCGTGCAGCTTCAGGACCCCGGTGTCGGTCTCTGCCAGCGACGTCAGTTCCTGCCACTCATCCAGCTGCTGATAGTGGGCACGAAGCAGAGTCCTCAACCCCACACAGACCCCCTCCCACCCAACATCCCCCTCCCCAGGACCCTCCTGCTAGGGGACAAAGAGCAGCCAGGAGATGCTGGCCAAGGGAGAGCTGCCCCAGCCTTACATTTTTCTTAAAGAAGCTGAAGACGGGCTGTGGGTTCCCATCAGCCTCGCAGACCAGTGTCACATTGTCCCCTTCCTTCACCAGCGTCGAGGACGGCACCACCTGCAGCTTCAAGTGCTCGGCGGGGTCTGGGGCAGGCGTGGGCAGAGTCAGTGCCCGGCCCCTCTGCGGGGCTCCAGCGCTGCCCCCCAGCCCCAGACTCACAGAAGATGTTGACGGTGACCCCCCGCGAGTCCAGGGCGCGCCGCTGTCCCTGCAGCCAGTAGTGCACGGTGCAGTGGTAGCGGGAGTGGCGGTCCTGGCGCGTGACGGGCGCGTACAGCGCGCTGCTCACCGTGTACAGCCCGCTGGACTCGCGCGTCAGCGTCGACGGCATCGTCACCTCTGCGGGGGACACGGCCGCGTGGGAGGGCTGCTCTGGGCACCAGCCCCTCTGCCACTCCCCACCCGTCCCCACCCCACTCACGGTTCTCCTGGGCGTGCAGCTGCTGCCCGTTCTTGTGCCAGGTGATGTTGGGGGGTGGGAAGCTGTTTTTGCTCACGCACTTGGCGATCTGTGGTGGCAGAGGTGGCAGTGAGCACGGGTCAGGGTCAGCAGGGAGCGTCCCTGCCCCCTGTGTGCAGCCCCTCCTCACCTCTGGGATTTCACTGCTGTGCACGGAGATGCCTCCTGAGTGTGGCTCAATCTCAGGGGTGGTGGGGACCTCTGCAAAGAGAAGCCACCCCACACATATGAGGGTTGGGATGGGGTCCCCGCCAGCCCCCAGAGCAGCTGCCCAGGCCTGCTGCCCTGCTGTGCCACTCACTGTAGACGCTGAGCTGGGTGCTGTTCTCTCCCACGCCGTAGCTGCCAGCCCCGACCTGGCACATGAAGATCCTGGCATCCTGCAGCGTCACTGCGCTGAGGGACAGGGCCTTGTCCTGCCCCAGTGACAGGCGCTCCTTGTAGTCCGTGTCGTCCTGCAGGACGCCGCTGGCTGTGACGTGGTACAGCCTCACCTGCCTGTTGCTGCGGTCCACCTGCAAGGCGAGGGGTGGGGCTGGGCTGGGGGGCCCGGCAGGATGCCCTGGGCTGGTTGCCACCCCAGCCCAGCAGCCTGAGCTGCTCTGCCGGGCCAGCACTCACGTAGAACCAGTCGATGTAGGTGTAGGAAGCATTCTCAGGGATGTAGAAGTTGCACTCGATCCTGGCTGTGCCCCCCATCTCCACTTCCACCACAGGTGGCATGGAGATCTCCAGCTTGCTGGCTGCAGCTGTGGGACAGAATCTGCGGTTAGGGGCAGGAAGAACGGGGAATAACGAGCTGTCCAAGCACAGCCTGTGCCCATCTCCATCCCCCAAAAGCTGTGGGGCAGAGCCGTGCCTTGTGCTCCACGCACCGTGTCCCAGCCCAGCAGGAGTGACACCAGGACCCCACTGCCACTCTGCCTTCAGCACCCACAGGGAGCTCATGGGCTCAGGAAAGTGATCCTGTACCCAAAGAGGGGACGTGGCATGGCGTGCCCCCACCAGCTGTGTGCCCAGGACACCATCGGGAGGCAGCACGTCCCCAGCCACCACGGCCTTGGCACAGCCAGGACTCCCAGGTCCCTCCACAAGCAGGAACCCAGCAGTCCAAGCATCCATCCCTGCAGCATTCCCAAGGCTTCCCCTGGCTGCTGCTCTGCTCCCTGCCCAGCTCTGCCCACACCCCCATGAGTGGAGCTTGCCCATCCCTGCACCCCACCTTCCTCCCAGCCCAGCTGCCCACAGCAGTAATGGAGCTGCTGGCCCTGCTCCAGAGAGGATGGAAGGGTAATGGCTATTGATCCAGGACAGGGCAGGGAGCAGCTTCCCAAGGATTGGGGGCACAGCAGAGACAAGGGCGGCACCGCAGCACGGCTGGCAGCGTCACTGCCACCACCCCTGCCAAAGCCCTGGGCTGGCACACGGCCCCGCAGAGGGGACAACAGCCTGTCCCCAAGCAACAGAGCCAGCCCAGGTATGGGAGCTGGGGACGAGAGGCTTGGAGGAAGCAGCTGTGTCAACATCTCCCTTGATAGCGCCCGCTCCCTAACAGCCACCACCAAGGCTTCAAAGGGCAGCGCCGTGCCCACAAAATGCTCTTTGTTTGGAGTGGGTACGTGGTGGCACAAAGCCAAAACGCAGCCAGGAGCCCTCCTGCCACAGCAAAGGCCCCGACACGCAGGACCAGCCGCCTCAGGGCTCCCCAGCACCCAGGGTTGGGCCCTCGCCCGTCCCGTCAGCGTGTTACAGTTGGCACAGAGAGATGAGCAAATCACGGCACAGCAAAGAAGGTGCTGGAAAAACAGGTGAAAGTCCCAGAGATAAGCAAGCAGCAGGGACAGGAAACTGGCTGAGAACACAAAGGAAAAGATAACTTTGCACAGCAGGCAGCTGCCCACCTGCACAGCCACCACTCGGCTGCTGGAGGGCACCTGGGGCTGGGTGTGTCCCTGCTGACCCCACGCAGCCTCCCCTGAGCCCTGGCGCTCTGGGCTGCAGGCAGCCAGGCCAGGCTTTGCCTCTCCATCATTTTCAGACCTTCAGCAAGGGCCCCAGGCGGAGCCAGCCCCCGGGAGAGCAGCTGGCCCTCCCCCTGACCCGCTCGGCATGAGAGCCCTCGACCAGGCAGCGAGCAAGCGAAACCATGAGCTCACAGCTGGAGAATGGCTGGCATCCGGGGCTGGCATGAGGATCACAACCCTCCCAGCCATCCACTGCCCTTGAGGAGGCCGACACGGCCGCTGCAGCCCCCACCCTGCCTGGAGAAAGGGCTCAGTGCTCCCCACCTCCTGCGGGACGGGCTGGAAGAGGGACACAAGGGGACACTCACGAGGTCCCCCACAAGCCTGGGGACACAAGGCTCGCTTCTACAGCTCCAAGACCTTTTGCTCTGTGCGTGGGCAGGCTAAAGAGGCACTGGGCACAGCCAGCCTGGCACAGCAGGCTCCGGGGACCTGGCAATCCTCCCTCGTGCCCAGCGCAGCTGCAGGGTTGGTGATGGAACCTGGGGAGACCCATCAGGCAGGCGTGGAGCGGCCCAGCTGCAGCACCGAGCTCTATCAGCTCCATCCACCCCAAGGGCCTGGCACAGCTCCAGCCGGAGACCTCGAGATCTGGAGAGGGCGTCTGCAGGGAGCGAGCAGGGAAGGAAGGAGAGCCCCCGTGCCTTTTCCATCTGGCTGGCGGACAGCCGGCCGGCAGCCAGAGCTCCGCAAGAACAAAGATTTGCTTTTAGAGCTGGGGAAGGGGGTGGGGAGCAGCACAGTCCCTCGCCAGCCTCCTGCAGAGCCGAGGTGTGCGGCGAGAAGGCGAGAAGTGCGGCACAGAGCCCCCGGCCCGGGGCGGGAGCAGAGGCACCGCGGGGCTCTGGAGCCGCACATGGGATTCCTGAGGTTTCCCTGGGTTTGTGTTCCCCTCTCAGGCAAACCAGCTGCGGCCAGATCCCGCCTGCTGCCGGCACAGCCGCACATGCTACCCCTCCTATCCCTTCAGATCGCCGAGCCGGGGTGCCCCCAAACAGCATCACCCGCATCCTGTTTGCTTCACAGAGAGAAGGAAGAGGGTGCAGAGCCCCAGCCCCGCAGGAAGCAGCACCACCAGCGGTGTCCAGCACCTCCTCACACTGACAGCCTCCGCCCTGCCCGGGATGGGGACGGAGCCAGGGCTCTGCTGCAGCGGGGAGCAGCACCTTGCACCCCAAAACAGCCCCAGGACCCCACCATGTGCACCTGGAGAGGCAAAGCTCCCAAGCCCACCCCGCAGCTGGGTGACAACACGCAGACACCTCTGTAACAGCCAGACCGCGGGGCACAAAGGGATGGGGCGGCTCAGGCAGCCCCGGGGTGGGCTCAGCCCCCCGTTCCAGCAGCGCTGGCTGGTCTGGGAATGTCTTGGCCGTGGCCCCTTGTGCTTCTGGGAAGCATCAAGCTTTTCACGTGGCTGGGCTTCCAAATTCACCGACGCCGCCAACCATTGAGAGGCTCCTGGCTCGGCACACGGGCTGTGGGAAGGGGATCCCGGCACGGGACGGGGGTGGGAGCAGCCTGCTCTAGACCGCGCTCTGAGCCTGACTTTGGCTCCTACACCTCGGCCCGGGCAGGTTCCCAGCGCCGGGGCCACCTCCGCAGCTCAGCGGGGCTGGGAGCGGCCGGCGCACCGGGACCGCTCCCGGGCTCCCGGCGGGGGCAGCGGGGCAGGGCAGGAAGCACGGCCACCCCCCGAGGGTGAAAATGGACTGGAAAGCGGATAAAAAAAGAAAGCACTAAAAAAAAAAAGCGCCAAGAGAAACACAGCGCTCGGGGGAAAACTCCTTAGAAGGAAAGGGGTGGATGCTTCCTAACAACAAGCGGCTCGCCCCGGTGCGCGCTGAGCGCACGTGGGTCACCCCTCAACCTGCGCTGCGCTTGGGGGGCTGCAGCGGGGCCCCGAGAGCGGGACGGGGCACGCAGACCCACCCCACGGCGGATCGCGGGGCCATCCGGGCGGGGACACGCTGGGAAGGGCCGATCCCACCTGGGCTGCCCCGACCCCGCGATCCGAGCATTCCCGGAGCCGCGCCAGGCACCGCCCGAGGGGCGCAGCGCTCCCGGCCGCCGGCCCCGCCGCGCCTCTGCGGGGACCCCGCTCCGGCTGCCGCCTCGGGGGGCTGCACGGCGCCCGAACCCAGCCCCGCACCCCGGTGTCCCCCGGGGTTAAGGACATCCCCGCCGGGGCTCCGCGGGACCCCGCGGCGCTCCGCAGGTGCGCGCGTCCGCCCGGCCCGCACCGCCCGGCCCCGCAGCGCAGCGCCCGGCCCGCAGCGCAGCCACTCACCGCAGCACAGCAGCAGGCAGCAGCCCCAGCCCAGGGCCAGCCCCGCCGGCCGCCGCCCCCCAGCCATGCCCGCCGCCGGCCGCCCGAGACTGAGCGGGGCCGCGGGCTGACGTCAGGCGGAGGAGGAGGAGGAGGAGGAGAGGAGGAGGAGGAGGAGGAAGGCGCGGTGCCTGCCCACCGCCCGCAGCCGCTTATCACCCCCAGCAGCAGCCGGGCGGGCGCCGTCCCCGCCCAGCCCCGCAGCTCGGTGCCCAGCCCCGCAGCTCCGTGCCCGGCCCCGCAGCTCCGTGCCCGGCCCCGCACGGCTCCAGGCACAGCTCGGCTCGGCCCCCAGCCCGGCCCCAGCTGCTCCCAGGGGCTCGCAGAGCTGCCAGCTCCTGCCTGTCCGGGCGTGCACGGGCTGGGGCAGGCAGACAGGGGCGCGCTGGGGGTGGAATCGCTCCTCGCAGAGCCGGAGGAGGGGGCTGAGGCGTGGGATGTGTTTTTCGGAGTGTTTGGGGAATGCGGCGGCGCGACGCTCCCCGAGGGTGCAGTGTGCAGGTGGCAGCGGTAATCAGAGGTGACCTGCTGCCCTAAAGCCCAGCCCCGGCCCCACACTGCCCCAAAGCCCAGCCACGGCTGCGGGGCCACCTTTGAACCCACGCCAAACCAGCACAGACTCAAAACAGCCAGGCAAAACACTCTTTGTCATTGTGCGGACACCTGGGGGCAGTTTGGGCCGGGGGGCGGAGCAGGCTCGTGTCCAGGAGGGTCACCGGGGGCTGCAGGGCTGGCACCCAGCCCCGCTGAGCCCCGGTGTCCCCGGCCCCGCGCAGCTGTCGCTGAATGGGGCGGCTGTGCAGGAGCTGTTCCCCCCGTGGCCGGGGCCGCAGCCCGCCCGGGGGCCGGCCCGGGGGCGGGGGGGCTCGCCGGGCTGCACAAGGCTCCCATTATCCAGGGGTAATCACCCAGCCCGGCCCCTCCGGCAGCCCCGGGCAGAGCCGGGAGGAGCGCAGCAAACCCCGCCAGGTGCTGCGAGTTGCCCGCAGCCGGCCCCAGCGACCCTGTCCTGTCACAGCCTGGCTCCGTGCCTCAGTTTCCCCGGGTCAATCAGAGCCAGAGGGGCTGGTGGAGTACAAAGGTATCCTCCACCTCAAAGCCGTTTCTTTTCCCCGCTCACAGGACATCCGAAACTCGCTGATTCAGATTCATCACACACGGGGACAGACCCAGGGCTGTGACAGCGCCCTCCTCCCGCTCCCAGCCCAGACGCTCTGAACTTTTGCACATCCTTTTCTCTCCTCCTTTCCCTGCAGCATTCCCGTCCCCCGGCAGCAGGGGCTGCACCCCTGCGACCCTCCCGGAGCCACTCCAGGGCTGGGCTGCAGGTTCCCCTGAGGCACGGCATTCCTCCTGGGAATTGTCCCACCGCCAGCCCCCTGTGCTGGCCCCCAGCCCCAGCGCTGCTCCCCGGCCGGTGCCATGCAGCGCCCCTTCCCATGCCCCCCTCCTCCTCCTCCTCCTCCTCTGCACGGCTGACCGGCACCCCCCCACAAGACTTTCCCAGCCAAACACACTCAGTGATTCATCGGAAATGATTAAGTTTTTTCCCCAGGAGATCAGTTGCTTAAAATGGCAATGCTGGGCAGTGATAAGGCTGAGAGTCACGCTGGTGCTGCTGGGCAGGGGAGGCCTCCTCCCTTTGCTGGGAAGAACAAGTGCAAGGGAGCTGTGCCATCACCCGCAGGATGCTCAGGAGCTGCTCTCCAGCCTCACAGGCTCAGTTTTGGGATGCTGTCACACCTCGTGGCAGGAGCTCCCTGTCTGTGGTGGGCAAATCCACCCCAAGTGGGTACCCTAGGCTCAGGGACTCCCTGACAGTGTTCTCACTCTTCCCCTCCCTCCAAAGGGCAGGATGCAGCACCAGAGGAGCCTCAGGCTCTGTTCTCCTTGGAGCAGGGAAAGGGATGCTCCACCTGGCACCAAACACCCCTCAAATGCCACCCTGAGAGGGAAGGAGGCCCAGGGGAAAGCATCCACCAAAGTCAAACAAACAAAGAGTGCTCAGCTGGCACACCCCTGGTGCATTTTGTTCTGGGCCTAACTTTTATTCCGCGTTAAAAATAAAGCAGGACGTCGCTAAGAAAACCTCTGCAGAAAATTCCCAGCAGTTGGAAAGGGCAGTGCCACTCCCTGGGGAAAACAGGCTGGGGAGGATGCCACCCTCAGGCAGCCCCCTGCTCTCCCTGCATGGCTCTGCCTCCAGCTGGTCGGGCTTCAGCCTGCTTAACTTTGAAGAAAACTCGTGCTTTTTTCCCCCCAACAAAAGGGGAGAGGGGCAGGATTGGAAATCAAGGCGTGAGCAGATGGCATGAAATCAGCCTGCCACGCTGTGTGTGGCACCCGGCGGGCTCGGGGACTCTGCGTGGGGAGCGTGGCAGGCTGGCCACCTTCATCTTCCCTCCCTGCTGCCTCATCTCACGCCTTCTTGTTTATCTGCTTGCTTAATGGATTTGGCTGCAGTCCCCACTCCACACACACCGTGGATCAGGCTCCCCTGCCGCAGTCCCACGCACACAGCCGGGGTGGGAAAGCCAGGGAGCAGAGGTCTGGCCCCACCTGAGGCACAGAGCAGCTCCCAGAGCTCCCAGTCCCTGCCAGGGCAGGGATGTTGGTGCCTGGGCCCCGCAGCTCCCAGCACTCTCCTCCTCCATCCCTCCTGCCACTGCTCAGGGAGGCCGTGCCTGGGCAGGCAGCTCTGCCCCTGGCAGAGGTGAGGCTTTGCCAGTCCCTGGCACAGCTGCTGGAAACCTGGGATCCACAGGACCCTGCCCAGGGCAGGGCTGATTTCCCGGCGTTATCTGAGCGTCGCAGGAATGATCTGGAATGGTGCACTTGCATTTTCCTCCCTCCTCTGGCTGCTGCTGGGCCTGGCTCTCTGCAGTGGTCAGCACGGAGCCAGGCCTGGGGCTGTGCATCCCAGCACACACCTCAGCTCTCCCAGCTTTTCCTGCACTCCCACACACATCCCCGCTGATGTGGGGACCTTGGGATTCTTCCAGAGGGAGCTGGCCCGGCGTGGGCTGTGCCTGTGCCTGTCCTGACAGGCTGCTCGTGTGTCCCAGGTGGGACGGGGGCCCTGTGCCTTCCCCCAGGCCTGCAGCCAAGCCCAGAGAAGCTGGGGTGGGCTCTGGGGGGAGCTTGGGGGGCTCTGGGCCAGGTGTGCCCCCGGTGAACCCTCACCAGTGCCCGTGGGCTGGGGGCTGGCCCTGGTTCCAGTGCCATGGGCTGGGGGCTGGCCCTGGTTCCTATGGGCTGGGGACTGGCCTGGCTCTTGTTCCCATGGGCTGGGAACTGGTTCCAGTGCCTGTGGGCTGGGGGCTAGCCTGGTTCCAGTGCCCCTGGGCTGGGGGCTGGCCTGGTTCCAGTGCCCACAGGCTGAGGGCTGGCCCTGCTCCCTGCAGGTCTCCGGGGTGGATGGAGGGCAGCAGTGCAGGGTGGAAATCTCTGGCTGTGTCCAGCCAGGCCTGCACCTCCTCACACAACACCCTCAGGGCCGCCAGGGGCCCCCTCCCCGGGGAAGGGATGGGATGTGGGCCAGCACTGAGCGTTCCCACACTGCCCAGGAGCTCCTCATGCTGCCCTGCCACTGCTCCCCTCACCCTCAGGGCACCTTCTGCCAGTCCCTGCTGCTCATTTTGGGGGGCTCTATGACTTTGCACTCTGGGGTAAGTGCAGGAGCCCTCCTGGGTTGCCCAGCCCTTGGTTCTCTGCTCCCTGAGTGCTGTGAGGTCACTTTGGGGTACCCCTGCCCCGTCCCTGTTCACCTCTGGGAGCCTCTTTGGGGCTGTGTCCTCCAGCTGAGGAAAACGCCTCCTTCCAGCCCCCTTCCTCGCTTGGCTCCCAGCGGCTCCTTTGTGTCTCTCTCTCCTTCCCCTGCTCTTGTGCAGGGCCTTTCTGTGGGGATTATTAACCATGGCTACGGGGCCTTTGTTCAGCAGGGGCCGGAGCAGGAGCCTCGAGGAGGGTGGAGAGAGGAAGGACAGGAGCGGAAGGGGGGGAAGGAAGGTGGGGGGGAGCAAAGGAAGGTGACATCTGGGTGTCTGTCACGGATTTTGGAGCAGCTGTGCGGGGGTGGCCGGGGCTCGGCGGATGCAGGGCAGTGTGGCAAAGCCCCAAAAAGGAGCTGAGCTGGCACGGGTCACCCAGCCCGGAGCAGAGAGCTCAGCATGCTGCCCTGACGGAGGGCACAAGCAGCACCCCAGCGCTCCAGGAGTGGCTTTGAGGTGGTTTGTGGTGCACGGGGAAGGCTGTGGAGCTTCCCTTGCTCCCTGCCCCGGGAGCTGCCTGCAGGGTGGATGGACAAGGACAGCTGGAGCACGCCTGGGAGAACCTTATCCAGCTGAGAGGCGCTGCCAAGGCACGGGGAGAAGGAGCCCTCTGCCCGGGGCTGCCGCTGCTCCTCTGGGGCTGCAGGAGCCGCAGGGCCCGAGCAGGTGCAGCCCTGGGACGGGGTGTGACAGCCCTGGGACAGGGTGTGACAGCCCTGGGACGGGGTGTGACAGCCACGTCCTGCCCCCCTCGCACACGTCCAGCTGGATCCATCCCGTCCGTGTCCCAGGCTGCTCTCCCAGCCTGGGCACGCAGCGAGGGGCAGGATTTGGGGATGGGCGCTGGCAGGGCGGCCGGGGGAAGGCGGGAGCTATTTATAAACAGTCCTTTTCCTTGGGAGCACTTCCGAGTCCATCTCCCTCAGGGCCGGCCGGAAAATGGCCCCATTGTGCTGGCGCCGGCCGGGACGGGGCTGGGCACGCCCCACACAACGGGGCAGATGCTGGGCCAGCTGTGGGGCCTGGCCGTGGGCTCCTGGCCACGCTCATCCAGCACTGGCTGCCCCGAGGAGCGGGCAGGAGGAACAGCCCTGCCCTGTGCTCCTGTCACCCGGCTTTTCCGGCTCCCTGCTGCCGAGGAAGGGAGGAGAAGTGGGATGGGGACACAGCATCACTGCCTGGGCTTGCCTGCAGGGATCTCCTCCTCCCGGCTTTGTCTGCAGGGCTCATTAGGATCATAGAAAGCCTAATGAGAGATTAGCCCCGGGCAGGCCCAGCTTTGGGGGAGCCCCCCTTGCAGGGGATCCCTTTGGAGAGCCATGGGAAAGGCTGCCTGTGGAGAGGGATGGGGGCAACCAAGGAAGGAGTGGGATAAGGCAGCACAACCAAGGAAGGAGTGGGATAGGGCAGCACAACCAAGGAATGAGTGGGATAAGCAGGGCACAGTCCCACCAGGGCCCTGGGGAGCGGCGGGGCTGGGCTGGCCCAAGAGCCATTCCTTCTCGCACGACTTTCCCATGCAAGAGGACTTGCCTTTCCCAGGGCTGCCTGGCCGGGCTCCAGGAGGAGACAGATATCCCAGCTTCCGTCGTGGGGAGACACGGAGCCCTCCAGAACCACGGCGAGCAGCCCTCGTGCTCCTGCCCTGGCAGGGTGAGCAGTGTGAGGGGAGGCTGTGGCTGCTGGGGACGCAGGGCTGGGCTCCCTGCCGCTCCAGATCCTTCCTGGGGACTCTCCCCAGCAGCCCCGGGGTGTTCCCTGCCCGCGGGGGGGATCCTTCAGCTGCCCCCAAGGCCAGAGGAAGAGCGCGCCGCAGCACCCTGGAGCGCAGCCCAAGAGGGGCCGGGGGTTTTCCGGAGCGGATGCGGCCCAATGAGCCATTGTTCCCGGCTGGGCTGCGAGCTCGGGCCCGCGGGAGCCCGGCCCAGGTGCTCTGGGAGCACCCGAGGTGAGGCAGAGCCCGGCAGGGCCGCGCTGCCTGCCCTGACCCAGCCCTCGGGGCTGCCACACACCCTGCACCTGCGGGGGGGCACCTGGGCATGGACACCCTGCCCAGGGAGCTGGGAGAGCACTGGGAGCACTGGGAGAGTTGGGAGAGCACTGGGAATGCACTGGGAGAGCACTGGAAGAGCACTGGGAGAGCACTGGGAACGCAGTGGGAGCATGCTGGGAGTACTGGGAGCACACTGGGAACACACTGGGAGCACACTGGGAGCACACTGGGAGCATAAGGAGTGCAGTGGGAGCACTGGAAGCTCACTGGGAGCACTGGGAGCAGGAGCGGGCAGGGCAGGGCAGGTGCACGGCCGCGGGGCAGGCAGCGAGCGGAGCGCGCCCAGCCCTTGGCTCGGCTCCCTTTTCCCTCCTCCAGCTCGGGAGGGCGATGAGAAATCCAAACATTACCATAAATGCTGAAAGCATCCCGGCTCCGTCACGGCCGCGCGCTCCCCGGGGAGGCAGGCGCCGGCTGCCTCGGAGCCGCGGCAGCGACAGACAGCGCCGCGGAGCCCGCACGGACAGACAGACAGACGCGGATGCGCCAGCCCGGCCCCTGCCCGCTCGGGGAGGCACCTGCGCGGATGTTCGTGCCGGGCTGCCCGGGGTGCGGTGCTTCCCTCCCGGGCTGTGCGTGGCTCTGCCGGGGCTCATCAGCTCGCCCTCGCCTTCCTTAAAAAGCCTCGGGCTTCGTTTTCCTGAGCTTGGCATCGGCTTCAGGGCTGGAGCATCCCCCCGCGGCAGCCCCAGGCCCTGGCGGGGTCCAGCAGGGAGGGCAGGACCTGCTCCAGGGCTGTGACCTCGCTGCGAGCCGTGCCTTTATGTCCAAACCTCCTGCAGGAAACTGCTTGGCCGGGTGACCCTGCCCTGACTGTCCCAGGCAGGCCCAGGGGATCCTGCTGGCGAGTGCTCGCCTTGCCTGTGCCAGGGCTCGGGCTGGCACACACCCCTCTCCTGCACGGCCGCTGATAAATAGATAAATAGATAAAAAGTTATCTTTTTTTTTTTTTTTAAGGTTGCAGAGTTAAAACAGATTGGACCAGTGCTGTTAAGTTAGCGTCATTGTTAAGAGCTCTTCTTCAATTACCTGTTAATGGTTGGTGATTAACCACTGGCCCCCCGATGCTTGCCAGGGAGGGACACAGAGATCCTGCAGGTACCAGGAGAATGGGAGTGGTATGCAGATGAGAAATGCATTGCGCCCAATTTTGCAGTTTTCCAGGAAAAACCCTAAAAATTACAATCCAACATAGAACTGAGTGACCTAGGTGATGTCTGAGGATGGGAGCGTAGTCCAGTGCCTGCTTGGATCCTTTTTGCTTCTCACCCTAACCTCAAAAGATGTTAACTAGAGAGACGACCCGGGGTATTGGACCTAAAATCTGGAATTTGCTAATCTCCCGTGAGGACGGAATCCCCAGCTCTGCCTGCAGATCAGCGGACACAGCTGCATCCCCCTCCTCCTCCGTGCCCTTCGATTTCTCCCCACCTGAGCTGATTCTCTTTAATAAAGACATTAAAAAGGAGAAAGATCTCCTGCCCATTTATTTCGGGATCCCCCTGTGCTGTCTGGAACCAGGCTGAGGGGGCTGGTTTCAAGCCCTGCCCATCCTGTGCTCTGTGCCTGGCTCCTGAGCCCCATCCCGGGATCTCCCTGTGCTGTCTGGAACCAGGCTGAGGGGGCAGGTTTCAAGCCCTGCCCATCCCGTGCTCTGTGCCTGGCTCCTGAGCCCCATCCCACCACCCCACCCCTTGTGCAAGCCCCCTCTCCAGCTCTCCTGGAGCTCCTCCAGGCACTGGAAGGGGCTCCAAGGTCCTCTTCTCCAAGCTGGACAGCCCCAGCTCTCCCAGCCTGCCTCCAGAGCGGAGCTGCTGCATCCCCTGGGCATCCCTGTGGGACATGGGGATGGCTGCCCACTAACAGGGGCAGGGTTACATGGGATACTGGGCACCCTGTGAGCGTGGGGAGGGCCTGGCACAGCTCGCCCAGTGCCTGCCCCATCCCTGGCAGTGTCTGAGGCCAGGCTGGATCAGTCCGGGGTATTGGAAAGCGTCCCTGCGCCATGAGCTGCTCCTCTTTATGTAGTGATCAGGCGGATCCACCTCCACAAACAGATCAGGGATTGCATCTACAGTCTTAATTCTGCAGTTAAAAAACTGCAAAAACGGCGAAAACGGCGAAAACTGCAAAAACCGCCGCGCGCGGCGCAGCGAACGGTCCGGGCCAACGGCGCTACTGGCCCTTTAAATGAGCCGCGGTGGGCGTGGCCAGGCTCGCCCCTCTGCTGGAAGCCGCGCCCCCGCCACGCCCCTCCGCGTCCCGCGAACCGACCAATGGGCGGCGAGCCCGGGCGGAGCCCCCGCCGCCGATTGGCCGCGCGGCGCACGGCGGCGGGCGCCAAGATGGCTGCGCCCATGGCGGAGGGGCCCCGCGGCTGAGCCGCCGTACGGCCCCGCCGGCAGCATGGACGTGCTGTTCGCGCTGCTGCGCGGGCTGCGCCTGCTGCTCGACCTGCTGCTGCTGGTGCTCGACCTCAACTTCTTCCTGGTGTCCTCGCTGGTGTCCGCGCTGCTCTGGCTGCTGGCCGCGGCCTGCAGCCTGCCCGCGGCCGCGGCCGCCGCGGCGGTGGCGTGCTGGGACGCGCTGCTGCTGGTGCGCGGCTGCTGCGGGGCCATGGAGGCCGTGAGGGGGGCCGGGAGCTGGCGCAGCGAGGCCTGGGCGCCGCGCTGGGCTGCGGGCAGGCGCTGGGCCGGCAGCTGGGCGAGGCGCTGGCCATCGGCAGCAGCCTGCTGATGTACCTGGCCAACAGCCTGGTCAACGTGTGCCTCATCGGCGCGCAGAACCTCTTCACGCTGCTGGCCGCGCTCTGGGACTCGCTGGCCGGGCCGGCGGTGCGGGCGGCCGAGCTGCTGGCGGCGTTCCTGGCGCACGTGTCCAGCGGCGCCATCGCCGTGTCCATCCTGCTGTGGTCGCCCTGCCAGGCGGCCCTGGAGCTGCTCTGCTGCGCCGCCGACCTCTTCATCAGCGTCTTCTTCGTCAACGTCTACGGGCTGGGCTTGCTGCTGCTCATCGTGCTGCTGGGCGCCCTCGCCTTCAACCCCGGGCTGCTGTGGACGCTGACGGGCTACGCGCTGGGCCACTGGCACACGCTGCCCTCCCTGCGCCGCCTGCAGCGCGACGCCGGCCGCCTCTACCAGCTGGCCGTGCTCACCCTGGGCGTGGCGGTGACCTCGCAGCGCTGGCGCAGGCTGGCGGACTGGGTCCAGCAGGTGACCAACTGGAGCCGGGGAGGAAGGGCGCTGAACCAGGGCAGCGAGGCGCGGCGGGCCGTGGGGGCCCCCCGAGCTCCGGCCGCAGACAGGGTGACGCTGGGCCAGCTGCTGGCCGAGCTGGAGGAGCAGCTGGACGCGGAGCAGGGGCCGCAGCCGCGGGCTGCTCTGAGCCGTGCTGGGGCAGGGCAGCGTGCCCAGACATCCAGGGAGGAGCCGGGCACGTCGTGGTGGAAAGAGCCGAGGAGGCGGCGGCTGGACGCGACCGCCGAGGGAGCTGACAACGACCCCTGGGCGCTGCTGAAGGAGCAAGAGGAGAGGAAGAAATGTGTCATCTGCCAGGACCAGACCAAGACAGTCCTGCTGCTGCCCTGCAGGCACCTGTGCCTGTGCCAGGAGTGCACCGAGGTGCTCCTGCAGCAGGACATCTACCAGCGCAACTGCCCCCTGTGCCGCCAGGTGATCCTGCAGACCCTCAACGTGTACCTGTGAGCCCACGGGGGGCTGTTTCCCCAGGAGGTCAGAGGCACCCCTGTGTGCACTTCCCAGGGCTGCCTTGAGCAGCTTCCGAAGAACCGTGGATGGTGCTGGAAGGGCAGAACGCTGTGGGCTGTCTGCTGGTCACATTTGCTGCCTAACTAGGTTGTAGCTCTTGCTAGCAAGCACAATACTGATCTCTGCAGCGGGCTGGAAGAGTTACCTGGTTTTTTGTTGACAACTTTTGCCGTTTCAGGGCCCGTTGCCTTGAGCCTGCAGGCTGAGACCCAAAGCAGAGCGCAGAAAAACGCTCTGGTCCCTCCTGGCCAAAGCTGATGGAAGGTTACAGGCTGTGCCCTCCTGGCAGTCACAGGGGCTGGTGCAGGGCAAGGGAGGTTTTTTCCCCAGGGTCTCACTAGAAAATTACCTGGCAGGCTGCATGCAGGCCTGTTTCCTCCTGCCACCATCAGAGTGGAGGAGCTCCATGGGAAAAGGGAGGAGTGCCCTGTTTGCAAGGCCCAGGAGAGCCAGGAGCACACTCGAGTTTTTTAGTGTTTGCTGAACCTGGCTCTCAGCTGGAGAACAGAGTTTCTGGGATACTTCATCAGCCCAGGGCTTTGCTTTTTTTGAGGGATCTCTCTTGCCAGGACAGCGTGGAGCTGTGATGGGCTCAGCTCCCTGCAGAGCTCAGTGCTGCTGCTGCTGCTTCCACGCATCACCTATGCAAGACTAGAGCACACGTCAGGCTACCTGCACAGGGGGGGCTGGGGGGATCAGTCCCCCTGCTTGGGGCACTGAGGAGTGGCCCCCCAGCCAGTGCTCCCAGCCCTGGCAGCAGCAGCAGCCCAGGCTGGAGAATCCTCTCCAAAACCAACACAATTTGCAGGCTGGGAGTGCCATGGAGCAGGGAGGGTGGCTCCAGAGCTTGCTGGCTCCTTCCCAGGCTGGGCTGGCTAGAGGGAGGGGCTCTTTGGGAGGAGAGGGAGCACCCCAAAGCTCCTGGGAGCTCACAGACATTCCAGCTCCAGGCACAGCTTCTGCACATCCGTGCTGTGGATCTGCAGTTGTGTGCAGTTGTGGAGCAGTACCAGGACCACGGATCCCTTGGGTTAGGGCAGGGCTGTACCTTTGTTTTGTCTTGTTGTCTGTCACCAGTGTAGCCACTTCTGTTCAGAGGTGTCCCCTGAAGTCCAAGGAGTGCATCACCCATCCTGGCTGGGGCAGGCTCATCCCAGCCCGGGCATCCAGCACCATTCCAAGGAATTGCTGGGCTGCAAGAGGGCCCTGCACTAAAAAGCTTTTCCTTTTCCAGCTGCTTGCCTGAGGTCAGCCACACGCCACAGCCAATTTTGGCTGGAGCCAGACCGGAGAGAGTCTTGACTCTGGACTGCAAGCCAAGAGCCTGAGGGCAGCTGGCATGCTTTTCCTTCTATTTTCCTTCTTGATTAGCAATTTAAGCCAGAACAGAGGCAGCAGAGAGGCCAGGCTGTGCTGGGAGATGCCTCTGAGCTGTAAAGCTGAGCTCCAGCTAGGAGCTATCATCTTGTTGAGTGGCTTTGCTCAGAAAGGCACGGCCAGGGCTGGTTGCTCCCACATTTCCCGGGAGCTGGAAGGATTCCTGGCCAGGCCAGGCTTTTGGGCACTGATGGCTGTTAGAAGGGGCCCTCAGCTGCTGCACTCCACTTCAAGGAGATGCAAAGCTCCCCGTTGCTCCAGCTCTTGTCCCCGTGCCTCCCCACACACCTCCCTTGTTCAGCTGGCTCCCTGCAGCCACCAGCACGTGGGAGCAGCCAAACCCTGAGCAGGGGAGTGAGCCCAGGCTCTGGGCTGTCCCAGGCACTGGCAGGGGAGTCAGGGAGCTGCAGCTGGAGTCACTCACGAGTGGGATTGTGGCCCTGCTCCTGGCCACAGGCAGCAGCATTCCCTTGGGACCAGCTCGTGGATCAGGGGCTGCAATGTTCCCTCCATGAGTTACAGGCTGGGGGGGAAGGACACCTCCCCAAAAGTGCAGTTTGTTCCCTTAAGCCCTTTTTTTTGTTACTATTATTATTATTATTATTATGATAGCAGTCCCGCTTGTTTGTTTAGGGCCTGTTTGCTGTTTATAAGAGAAAGCTTTGCCTTAAGTTTAACTCTTTGCACTATGGACTAGATACTGAGCAGATTAAAATCTCCTTTACCAAAAGCTGGGCGCTGCCTCGTTCTTGGGAAGGATTTTTTGGGGGAAATGTGTGTTTATGCCTCCTTTACCCACCCCAGGGCTCCATGGAAAGCCCATCACTCCCCACAAAGCTCAACATCACCTGCAGGCTCAGTGGGGTTTGCCCCCAGAAAAGCAGTGCTGTGGGGTACCCTGGAGCAGGGAAAATCCAGCACCCAGGAGGTGAATTCACACCCAAACCCACTCTGGGTGGGCTTTTAGAGCTGGCAGCCCCCAAATCCTGCTCGGCCAACCCCTGTGAGAGGAAATGGTTGTGAATACACCACACCAGGGGACAGGGAGGAGGGGCTGGGGTCTCCCAGGGTGTTCCAGGCTGGCAGGAATGTGCTGGGACACGTTTATACCTGTTCCTGCACTGATGCCTCAGACTGTCCCTGGGATGGAGGCAGCTCTTGCCTTGCAGAAAGGCTGTGGCAGGCTCAGGGTTACTGAGCAGATGCATTTGCTGCACAAGGAGCTGCTCCTTGGCTCGGAGCTGAGCTCCTGGCAGGTTGCTTTGTGCTTTTAAGCACTCTCTGCTTCCCCAGCATCCTCATAAATTGTTTGGAAAAATGGCTCAGGATCCTGATGGGCAGAGACTCCAGCAGTCCTGGCTTGCCCTGCCCTGGCAGGGCCATGCCAGCAAAGTGGCTCATTTTAATCAGGATGGAAACCAGGAGAGGGGAGATGGGAGCTGCTGGGAGGCCAGAAAAGGGCAGATATCTGCTCAGGCACAGGCAGGAGGGCAGTGCTGCCAGATAACTGGGTAAACTGAGGCACTTCTCGGGCTCCTAGGCTGGCTGGGCGCCTGGGGAGGCTGCAGCGGGGGCAGGAGGGTGGGATCAGCAGGGAATGTCACAGACAGCCCCTCCCAGCCCAGCAGCCCCGGCAGGGGATGGGAAGGGTGCTCGGCCACCTCAGGCCATGCAGCCGAGCTTTCCCAGAGAGGACAGGATGTGCAGGACACGGCCCTCCCCCGGGAGCCATCCTGCACACAGCTTGGCTCAATCTCTGCTCAAACAGCCAGAAATTGCAGGAGGAAAATGCAGCCACCTCCGTGCTGATGGAGAAGCCCTGTGAGCCCTGCCTGCCCTGGCACTTGGGGTTTGGAGCAGGGCTGCACAGCCTGGGCCGCCCCAGGACAGAAGGTTCGGACTCCTCGGGGTGTCCCCTGCTGCAGAACATGCCTGGGAGGCTCCCACACGAGCCAAGCGGGCTGCTCCCAGCTCGGAGTGCCCAGAGCCTTCCCCAGGGAGGGAGCAGCGCGGTGCTGCGGGGTGAGCCCGGTTTGGGGGCACGGGGGTGGTGGGCTGAAATCGGTGAGCCCTGCCTGCCCTGGCACTTCGGGTTTTGGGCAAGGGCTGCACAGCCTGGGCCGCCCCAGGACAGAAGGTTCGGACTCCTCGGGGTGTCCCCTGCTGCAGAACATGCTTGGGAGGCTCCCACACGAGCCAAGCGGGCTGCTCCCAGCTCGGAGTGCCCAGAGCCTTCCCCAGGGAGGGAGCAGCGCGGTGCTGCGGGGTGAGCCCGGTTTGGGGGCACGGGGGTGGTGGGCTGAAAGCAGAGCCCCCAGGCGCTGGGGAAACCCCTTTGTCCGCCCAGCTGCAGCTCCCCCGCCCTAATGAGGCTGTCGCCACAGCCTGGGGACAAGAGGCACGCTCCGCCTGCCAGCGGGGAGCGGGAGGGACGGCGGGGACAGCAGATGGGGCACAGCAGGAGCGGGGATGATCCCAGGGAGGGAGGGAGGGAGCAGGTGAGGATCTGCGGCAGAACCGCGGGGAGCCTTCGGGCTGCTGCCGGCGCCAGCCTGGGCTCTCATTAGCGAGCCAGCACAGGGAGCCTCATCAGCTCCGGAGGGGACACCGCGCTCACCCAGCCTTGCTCGGTTCTGGGGACAGCAGGGCTCCCGGTGGCTCCGTGGGGAGAGGCTCTGCTGCCCCTCTGAGCAGCCCGGGGCAGGGTTTGGTCAGTGCCTCTCACCCCTGCTGCTGGGGATGGACCCGAGGTTGGAGGAGCTGATCTTTCCTCCTCCTGGACACCTCTCCAGGCCATGAGATTCTCCCGAGGACATCCCTGAAGGAGCCAGTGTCTGTTCCCCTGAAATCCAGGCTTGTGGTCCTTCTCTTGCCCATGCCCACGTGAGCAAGGACTGTCCCCTCCCCTGCCATGGCCAGGTTAAAGGTCTCCTTACCAGCTCAGCAGTCCTGAAGGTGTCTGGGAGTGTTCCCTGCACTCTGCAGCGATGGGGCCTCTGAACCTGGGCCATAACCAAACTTTTGGGTGGAGCAGGAGCTGCCCTGCTGCTGCCAGCAGTCACCAGGCCACCCTTCAGCACCGGGGCATTCCCACACTCTGACCCCATAGCCCTGTGCAGCTGTAGGGCCCCAGACATGGCCCAGTTGATCTCTTTAACCTCTGCTGCCTGCTGACCTCCTCAGGTGACCTTGCAGTGCCAAGGACACCAGTGCTGCTCTGCAAAGAGGCGCTGATGTTTATTTTTGTTTCTAAAAACCCACAAAGCAACCACAAAAACCTCGCAAGAAACAACAAAACCACGAAACTGCTGCCTCTGTGAGCTGCACTCAGCACCTGTGGGCTCAGCCTGGCTCTTTTAGAGGCTCCTCTCCTGCCCTGGCTGAGGGATGCTGGCCCCTCCCTAACCTTGGAACCTCTGCCCATGGTTCCAAGCTCTCCTAACTCAGGGAAGCTGGCAGAGCTCATCTAAAGCACCTGGAGCTTACTAGGAACTTGTCAAAGTTTCCTGTGGCTCTCCTTCCTTTTCCTTTTCCTTCTTCCTCATCCTCCCCAGGCAGCAGCAGACACCCTCACAGTCTCACAGGGCTCCCCCTGACCCCAGACAGTGTCCACACAGCCAAGAGCACCCCAAAGGAAGCAGAGCCCAGGAGCTGCCGTGGCTCCCTGTGCTGATCCTGCTCCTCCACGTCGTGACAGGGACCAGGGAACGCTCCCAGCCCCCACACCCCATCCAGAAAATTCCCTTCCCTCCTCCCAGAGCAGCCATCGATCCGCTCTGCTCTGTTTGCCCCCGGAGCAGCTCTGCTTACAGAAGAAGCCATCCCCAACCCAAACAGAGGCTTCCGCTGCAACCCGAGCCGGCGCTGCCCGCGGGGAGGCTGCAGCAGAGCCCAGAGCCCCCCAAGGGGCACCAGGTGTCACCCAGCACCGCCACACGTCCCCACGGGCTGGGGGTGGCCCGGGCAGGCTGCAGTGATGTGCCCATGGTCCTCATTGTGGCAGTGGGGGTTCCTTTGGGGTGGCACCCTGTAGGGTGGCACGCGGTGTCCCCAGGGCTGGTGGCACCCCTGGCGAGCAGGGACACGGGGTTTGCTCATCCCGACGGGCACAGCTGTGCTCCTGGGGGTCCATCCGGCACAGGTGGGGGGCAGTGGGGGATCCAGCTGTGTCTGTCCAGCTGTGTTCGGGGTTCCTGGGCTGGGGAATGCTGCAAAATCCCGCTGGCACGGCCAGGAGAGGAGCCGGTCCCAGCTGGCACCCCACAGCCCGGCAGGGCAGCCTCCCAAGCCCATGAAGGGCTTCGGCCGCTGGCCAAGAGCCCCCTCCCCGGCCGGTCCCTTCAGGGACCCATTTTGGGCAAGGAATGAGGAAGCTCTTCATTCCCCCGCTAAAAATAGCGACCTTTCCCAGCGGCGGGTCGCCGCTTTCACAGCGGGGCGGGGGGCTCGGCCGGCCCCGGACCGCGGCTCCGCTCCCCCCGGGGCGGCCCTGGCAGCCTGGGGACCCTCCCATCCTGCGGGGCTCGGTCCTCGGGGGTGCTCCCGAGCCTCGGGGAGGCGCCGGGGGCGGCCGCAGCGCCGCGCTCACGGCTCAAGGACGCCGATGCCACCATCTAGCGGCTCTCGCTGGCCCTGCGGGGACATCCCGACGCGGTGGCCCCGGCCCGGAACCCCCAGGCAGCCCCCTCGGCCCTCGGGGGTCCCGCGGGGGCACGCAGGCAGGCGGCACACGCGGAGCTGAGCAGCCCTTTATTGAGGGGAGGGATGGGGCAGGACCCTCTGGACGGGCTCCTGGCCACTCAGCCCGGCTTGCCCTGCCCTGGGGGTGCCCGAAACAACAGCGAGCTCTGCCCCAGGGGGGCTCCGTCCCCCCGCGATGGCACAGGGAGGGTTTCTGTGCCCCGGGCAGGGCGGGGGTCGCGCTGCCCCGGCTCCCACCGCGCTGGGGGCTGGGAAGGGGCTGGGAAGGGGCACCTGCCCGGCCCCACCCGCAGCGCAGGGCTGGCTCAGGCGAACACGGCGGAGTTTTGCCAGTAGGAGTAGACGAGGAAGCCGGTGAAGGTGCTGTCCGTCTTGACGCTGGCGTAGAAGCCGATGTAGTCGCCCACCCCTACCTGCACCCACACCTCATCCTCGGGCTCCAGGCGCACCAGGGTGCCCCCGGAGAGCGAGGTGGGCTTGGGCCAGTTGCCGTAGTACTGGAAGAAGGAGGCGATGGAGCCGCCGTTCTTCATGATGTCGAACTGCAGGCTGGTGCGGTACACGGTGGCGTGCACGGCGAAGTAGTACAGGCCGGGCACCTCGCAGGTGAACTTGCCCGTGGCCGGGTCGTAGTGGCCCTGCTCGTTGATGAGCACCACGTCGAAGAGGATGGGCTGGTCGGCCAGGGGAGGGCTGCGCGACTCGGAGCGCTTGGCGCTGAAGGCGGAGCGCGGAGCCACGGCGCACTCGCCCTGAGCGCCCTTGTGGCCGGGCAGCCCGTCCGCGCCGGGGCTGCCCGCCTCCCCGCGGGGCCCGGGCACTCCTGGGGGACAGGGTCACCGCTGAGTCACCAACACAGCTCGTCCACCCCTCCTGCCCAGCCCAAATTCCCTGCCGGAGCCGGGCACTGCGTGGGGAAGCAGCAGGAGTGGGGAGGGATGGATGTGTAATTCAACAAATCTTTGGAGAAACCCTCACAGGCCAGGGGAGAGCCCAGCCCAGGAGCCAGGGCAGGGATTGTACAATTCCTGGTGGTGCCTCCTAAAGCAGGGCTGGAAGAGCGAGGTGGCATTTGGGATGGGGACAAACGCAGCTTCACCAGCTACTGCTTTCTACAGGACACAGGGGCACCACAGGCAGGGCCAAAGGGTGGTGGTGGCATGGGAGGGGCGCTTCTGCAGGCTTCATTCTCCGTTTGGCAATTTGTGCCAGCCTGCAGGACTCACCCCCTGGCATGGGGTGCTCCCCACGGGCTGGGAATGGCAAATCCCCCTCCCCAGCTGGCATCTCCCCTTTCTTACCAGGAGGGCCCATCTCGCCCTTCTCCCCTGGCATCCCCACGGCTCCATCCCGGCCATCTCGCCCGTCTCTGCCTGGCAAACCCTGGCCCCCGTGCAGGCCCGGGGTGCCCGGGATGCCCGGCTGCCCTGAGCACAGCCCGGGGATCTTGTTGTCTTCGATCTGCAAGGACCTGGTGACGAGCCCGAGGAGGAAGAGGAGGAAGAGCTGCTTCATCTTCTCCTGGAGAGGGGGCAGAGAAGGATCACAGCTCTGGGCACCACAGTGGAGAGGGCTGGAAGCGCCTGACAGGGAGTGTGGGGGGTCAGCAGGGGACACTCCCGCCTTGTTTTCCCTTTACCTTTTGGGCTGCTCCCATCAGCGAGGCCCCGGTGCTGCCTGCACCTGCCACAGCATCCCGGTGGCCCGTGTGCCACCAGAGCACCCTGCAGCCCCGGGACAGCTCGGGACGTGTGCGGGGCCAGGGGCTGTGCCAGTGGCTCGGTGTGTGGGGCTGGGGGCTCTTTGGGGTGGGCACTGCCCCGCCGTGCCCAGCTACGGGGGAAACGGGCAGGGGGATTTCGGGCTGGGGGTGGTGGGCGTGCCTGGGGTGGGGTTGTTGCCCCTGGGGGGCTGCGTGGTGGGGCGGCAGCTCGGGGAGCTGCGGGGCTGTGTCGTGGCCCTGCCCTTGGCAGCATCCCGGCTGCCGGCGGCTCCGCTCCACCCCCGGCCGGCCGCAGCATCCCCGGCGGCTGCCGGGACCACCCCCCTGCCCGCGCTGCCCCCAGCCCTTCCCGCAGCAGCACGGCGAGGGCTGAGCCCCGGGGCCAGCGCTGGCCCCCTCCCCGTGGCCTCGAGCCAGAGGAGCTGCTCTCTTCCCCCTTCCACGACGGCGACAAAGAGGAAAAGGAGGAGAAAAGCGTCTCTCCTCCGCCCAGGCGCCGGAGCCAGGAGGGCAGGGAGTCCCAGCTGCCCCCGGCTGGGTGTCCCCACTCACTGTGATCCCGTGCTCCTGTCGGGGGCCTCGCTGCTCGCCGCTGTGCAAGGGCTGAGGCTCTTCCTGGCCACTTGGCTCTGACGAAGGCCCTAAGAGAGGCAGCCTCTCCCCCCCCTCCTCCTCCCCACGTCTCTCCTCCCAAACTCCAAAGGAAATCAAGGGCTTTGGGAGCCAAAAGCTACAAGACAAGGGGAAAAAGAAAAATAATCCCATGATGTCGGAAGTGCTGTAAGCAGGGGGAAGGGAGAGGGCTGCAAAGAGCCCGGCCGAGGGAGAGGAGGCACAGGCTGGGAACCTCCTCAGCTGGACAGGGCTGGGCAGGGGGTGGAGGGGAGGAAAACAGGGAGAACAGGCAGCACAGGGAAAGGAAACAAGATAAAGGGTGAAGAGGGGAGGAACCCAGCAAGGCAGAGAGAGATGGGGTGGCAGAAAGAAGAGGGAGCTCTCAGGGTGTGCGGGTGCCCTGACTGGCAGCAGGGCAGAGCTGAGGATGGCAGAACACACGCTGCCTGGCAGTGCCAGCCCTGGGAGCACGCAGGATCCATCTGGGCGGTCCCAGCACGCTGGGCTGAGCGTGCAGGGCAGGTGGAAGGGCAGGCAGAGCAGCGCTGTGCCCGTGCCAGGAGGCAGGGCTGGCCCCGGGGACGCGGAGCACGCGGCGAGGCTTTCGAGGCGCTCCCAGCCCGCCTTAAACTCGTTCCAGCACCAAGTGCATCCAAGGGACACGGTCACACGCTGGCCAGAGGGGCGGGCCTGCGGCCGGGGATGTCCCTGTGCCCGGCAGCAGCTGGGACATGCAGGGAGAGAAGGAGCTGGGTGGGCTCAAACCCGCCGGGCTGGGTGGCAGTGCTGGGTACGGGGGCAGAGCGGTGCTGGCACCAGTGAGTCCTGACCCCAGTGACCCCAGCCAGGCTGGGGATTTCTCCACATGCTCAGGGCAGTGGGAAACACGGTGGCACTGCTGGCTCTCTCCTCTCCGTGCCACAGCCTGCAGTGGAGCTGGGGACATTGCCAAATGTGCCTTGCAGACCTGGATGCCCATGGCCGGGCTGGGTGCTGGCAGGGAGCCACCTCTCTCCTCTCGAAGGTGTGAAGGGACTGTTGTTTTTGGCCAGCTGGACACTGGTTTGTGGCCATGGGTGTTGCCAGGCCTGTGGCTATGAGGGTGGCCTTCAGCCAGCACAGCCAGCTCAGCCAGCAGGGCTGCTTCCACTCTTGGTGGTGCAGGATCCCTTCCCTACACCACGGGGCCACCAATTGGAGCCCCTGTGAGACCCATCCATCTCCCCGGGACCCTGCAAGCCCCAAGCCCAGTGAGAGCACAGGCAGCTGCCCACTGTCCCCTGCAGTCTTCCCTGTGCCCCTCCATCCCTGCCCAGCTCCCTGCCCCATCCCTGTCTTCCCTCCCTCCACCCATTCCTCAGTTTCCCTGGGATCTGGCAGCACCCCCACACAGACCCCAGATGAGTCAGCTTTGGGTCTGTCAGCTGCTCACGCTGTTTATTCTGCTGGGTTTGGGGCTGTGGCACACGGGCAGGCCTGGGCTCCTGTCCCTGCAGCCTGGCCCACCTCTGCCCAGCCCTGCTCCCTTTGGGGAGCATTAACCCTTTCCCTGTGGGATATGTCACCTGCTCTCTAGGGAAATGGAGCTGTGGGCAAGCCCGTGGCATCCAGGCACCACGGCAAGCACTGGGCACAGGGGCAGCTGAGGGGGCACCCCAACAGCTGGGCATCCACAACAGCAAAAGCACAGGAGGGACGTTTGGGGTGGGGAGGGTGCTTCAGCCCCTGCTGCCCTCCTCTGGCCGGCTCAGGGCTGGAAGCACTCCACGGGGTCGCTGGAGTCGGGCAGGATGTTGCAGTTGATGGGCCAGAGGATGCCCAGCAGGCCGAGGGACTGGCGGCAGCGCTGCTCGGCCGCCAGGCACACGGCGCGGCAGGGCTGCAGCACGCCGCCGTCCGGGGTGCACTTGGGCACGAAGAGGCTGCAGATGAGCAGGCGGAGGTGCTGGTAGCACGGCAGCTCCATCAGCGTCTGGGGACAGCGGGGACAGCGCGGTGAGCGCGGCGTGGCAGGGCGAGGGCAGCCCCGCGGGGGCCGGCTCACCTGGTAGTCCTGCAGCACCTCGGCGGCTCCCTGCTGGTCCGGGATGGCCAGCCAGATGTTGGGGAAGGAGGTGGCGTTGTAGCCCAGCCCCAGGCACATCTCCACCTCCACGGGCTCGCAGACAGACCCTGCCACAGGGAGAAGGGTTGTGCCAGCGGCAGCGCTGCCGGTGCGTGCCCGGGGGGCACCCAGGGGTGGTGGCACTCACCGAAGGCCGGGTAGGACACCCCGGTGCAGTTCAGCTCGTCGGTGCCGTCGGGGCAGTCGTGCCAGCCGTCACACACGGACTCCAGCGCCCGGCACTCGCCGTTCCCACAGGAAAACTCGGCGGGGCTGCAGGTCTCTGGGAGGGGAGAGGGCAGGGCTCGGCTGGGGGGCAGCGTGGTCCCATGCTGACCACCCCTGTCTTGCTCACTGGCCAGGGGATCTGGCAGATCCAGCTTAGGGAATCCCAAATTCCCTGGTTTTTTTGGAGGAGCCCTCAGGTCATGGATCAGGCCTCTGTGCAGGTGAGCCCGTCCGAGTCCCACCCCCAGGGCTGTAAGGTTTTAGGGTAAACCAGGTGAGAAGGGGCCCCGGGGCCTTTTTCTCCAAGCAGGGCCAGCTTTGGAACAAGAGCTGCTTCTCCCAGGTTTTTATCCAGCTTGGCCTTGAAGCCCCCCAAGGATGGAGGTGGCACCACCCACCCCGGGGCAGCCTGTGCCCCCGCTTGGCTACCTACTCTCTGTGGCATTGCGGGCTTGGTAGGTGGCAAAGAACCCCTCATCTGCAACCCCCTCGTCTGCCACGAAGAGGACGGTCATGACGTGCCGTGAGGAGGTCAGGGGGGGTGGCAGCTGGTGGCCACAAAACCTGCCGAGACCAGGGGACAAGAGATGGCGTCAGGGGGCTGACCAGCACCTCCCCAAACCCTGCCTTCTGGTGGCTCCTCCCCACCAGCCGGCCCCGTGCCTCAGTTTCCCCGGGTGAGGCACGGCTCCTGTGTCTCCGGGGTGGCACAGCAGGCCCGGGGTGTCGGGTACCTGCCCATGAGGCTGGCGGTGCCCGTGCCCGCGCTGTCGTGCACCTCCACGAAGTCGAAGCTGCATTCCTCGTGCGACTCCAGGCTGAAGTTGTGGAAGTGCAGGTCGATGACGTGGCCCAGGGGCACCGAGATCTGCCAGAGGCACAGCTGCGGGGCGGGGTGGGGGGCAGCCGGCGACACCCGTGAAGCTGGGCAGGGGCACCCCCAGCTCTCCCCGGGGCCGGGGTTGCCTTCCTCCCCTCCCACCCTCACCCTCCCCGTGCTCCCACAGCGCCCCTTCTCTCACCTGCTGGTGCGGGTATGGCTGCGGGTGGTTCGGGGTGGAGAAGTGTCCCTCCAAGGCGGTCAGCGAGCCCCCACATTCTGGAGGGGGACACACACACAAACACACAGAGACAGAGATTTACCCCTGCCCCTCTCCCTTCCCTCCATCTCCCCGCTCATCCCCGGTGCCGGGGGGGGCTGGGGGCTGCGGGTGGGGGTCTCTCCCGCCCACCTCTGTGTCTCAGGCTGCAGTTGGCCTCGTCGCTCCTGTCCGCGCAGTCCTGGAAGCCGTCGCACACGAAGCCCAGCTGCAGGCACAGCCCGCGGTCGCACAGGTGCTCGTCCCAGGAGCAGCTCTCTGCACGCAGCCACACACCCGGGATGGAGCGGGGGTTCCGCGGGGCACCCTGCCCTCCCCGCCGGCTGTCCCCGCTCGCTGCCAGCCGGGAGGGACCCTGGCAGTGCCCGGGCTGGGGGCACTCACTCTCGGCGGGGCTCACGGCGCGGTAGCGGGCGCTGAAGCCCGGGGCGCCCACGCTGCTGTCGGACACGAAGGTGACCCGCAGGCGGTTCGAGTCCGTGTTGAAGGTCGGCGGGGGCACGTTGCCACAAAACCTGGGGGCACAGCAAGCGCTGGCACCGCTCGCTGCCCCCGCGCTGCCACGCTCCCCAGGTGCGAGGAGCCCTACCTGGTCGGGCTGCCCCGAGCCGGGGCAGTGCCAGCGGTGCCCGGCTCTTCGTAGAGCTCCAGGCGGTCGAAGAGGCAGGAGGCCGTGCCCTCCACGCTGAACGCCTCCATCCTCAGCTGGATGGCCAGGCCGGCGCTCACCTCGATGCGCCAGATGCAGAGGGCGTTGGGGGGGTAGGGGCCGGGGAAGTTGGGGGAGCTGAAGGAGCCCTCGGGGCCCCGCAGGGTCCCTCCGCAGGCTGAACGAGGCAACAGCGTGGGCATGAGCTGGAGCAGGGCACCCCCATCCCGAAACGCTGCCCCGCTCGGGACTCACCCGGCGCTGCGGTGCGGGCCGCGGGCAGCCCGCTCGCCGTTGGGGTGGCGGCTGTTTTGGGGGCCGGGGGGTCCCTTCGGATGGCTGCTGTGGCCGTGGTGGCAGTGCCGCGGGCGGGCAGCGCCGTGCCCGGGGCGCCGGGGGGGTGCGGGGACGTCAGCTCTGTGCCCAGGGAAGAGCAGGGATCGCTCAGCCCCGGCGGGGAGGGAAGGGGCTCGGGGAGCCCACCCAGCCCTGTGCTCCTTACCCACAGGGGATCCCACACTGCGGAACCCCGGGGTGTGCCCGGGGTGCCCCCCTCCCACCGTGAGCCGGTTCTGGGTGCCCCACCCCGGCCACAGCCGCCCCCGGGCTCGGCACTCACGGTGGATGACGATGCCGAGCAGGAGGGCGATGAGGAAGAGCAGGATGGCGCTCATCAGGGCCACGCAGAGCCAGGTGAACCTGCAGTCGGCGCGGTGCCTCCAGCCCACCTGTGCCCACAGCTGCTGGCCTGGAGGCGAGGGCAGCGGGCAGGGCGCTGCTAAATCATTCCCCCACCTCCCTGCCCTGGCTGGGCAGTCCCCGCGGTGCCGATGTGTCCCCAGGCAGCCCCAGCACCCCTCTCCCGCACCCCACGGGCAGGGGGTGTGTACAAACCCCCAGGCTGGTACCGAGGCCGTCCCGGCGCGCTGCGGGGCCGGTCCCATCCTTGTCTGGCGGATGCTCCGGCGCCGCCCGGGGCTCCTCGCCCTCAAAAACGGGGTTGCAGAACTCGGTCTGTGGGACAGCGAGCGCGGGTGGCACCCTGGGGACCCGCGGGGACCATCAGCAGCGCCCACACGCCCAGCCCTACCTTGCTGCCGTCCAGAGCCTCGGGGCAAAGCGTGATTTCGGTGAAGTCTTTCATGGCAGCGGGAGGTTCCCGGCGCAGCCTGGCTAAAACCCTGCCCGGTGCCCTGTGCCCACCACCCACTCCTCCCCAGCTGCCCCCATGGGCCCCGGGGCGCCGTGGGGACCCCTGTTCCCGCTCCGGGGACGGGGTGGTGGCAGTGCCAGCCCTACACGTGGCAGCCCAGCGCCGGAGCCCACCCGAGGGCCATGCCCACCCCGCCGGGAGTGCGGGGAGCAGCCCCAGTCCCCTCGGCAGGCCCCTTCCCCCTCGCCCCGTTAATCCAGCTCAGCTGAGGATGCCGAGGTCAGGCTCTGGCACGGAGAAACAGCGTCTTAAAGGGGAACGAGTGCTCGCAGCCATCCCGCTGGGAGCCCACCCCCCAGGCACCCTGCTGCGGGGGTCCCCACGATGCTCCTTGGTTTTCCAGCAGGCTCCTCGCCGCTCAGGGCAGCGCTGAAGGGGCCGTGCTGGGGACTCCGGGCTGAGCGTGTCCCCCCTGCCCTCGCTGGGTGCCTGGGCCCTGCCACCCGCATTCCTGCTGCCCCTTAATGCCCGTCTCCTTCCCTAAGCAGGGCAGAAAGGGGCCATTGTTCAGGGGTTTTGAGGGAAGAGTGTGGGCACCGGGGAGCCCCGTGGGGCTGGAAATGCTCCTTCTGCCACCTGCAGCCACATCTCCCTTGCTCCAGGCGAGCCCGGAGCGCTCCTGGTCCATGGGTGCCCCTGGGGCTCCCCCGGTGGCAGCTCCCCACCCTCTGCCAGCCCCCCCAGAGACAAATCACACGCACCCGACGCCCTGTTCAAGCTCAGATTTATTCCTGCACGAGTCTCCCTTGTATGAGACGCTTCCCACCCGTCTTGCTTACACAGTAAACAAGCCACCTGCCAAGCAGCATCGCTGCCCCAGCCCAGCTCCTGCCCCCCTTTCCCATCCTGCCCCCCCGAGCCCCGCTGGGATGCCCCAGGCTGGGCAGGATGCTGGTGCCAGCGCTCAGCCCGTGCCCGCGGGGCAGCGAGGGCGAAGCCGGCCGGCTGTGGGTTGGATGGAGCTGCCTCCAGGGCTGGGATGGTGCCCGTGTCTCCTCCCGCTGCGCCTCCGGCAAGGCAGGACGGGGAGGAGAATAAATTAAAGGCTAAAAAGGCCACTGGCATTTGCTAGCTGGAGGACAGAGCAGCAGGGCGGGTCCCCGGGCACCCAGGAGGGCTCCTGATCACAGGGAGGAAAAAGCCCCGATTGCAGATGGTCCCGGAAAGCCACCGTCCTCCCCCCCTCTCGGTGTGACCCCTGCTCCCCTAAATGGTTTAAGGCACCGTCGTATGAGGAGGCAGGTAAAAACCTACCCGGAGCAGCCCCGGCACGAGTCCCTGGAGAGGCAGGAAGCAGCGGGGGGCTCCAGGCTGAAGCCAAGTCCATTATAAATACATAGAAATTCCACAAAAGGTTTTCCTCCCTCCTGTCCGTGAGTCTGGGCTCAGGCTGCTTTGAGGAGTGTGTGTGGGGCAGCTGCAGGGGATGTGCTGCCTGAGGCCACCGGAGGGCTGGAGTCCTTTGCCAGGAGGTTTGGAAGTGCTGGGAGGAGATCGGGAGCAGTTCACGGATCCTCTGGGACGGCCAAGCAGATACAGGAGTGGCAAGAGGTCAGGAGGGATGTGTGAGGCTCTCCTGGGTGCTGTCCCAGGGGAGGAGAGGTCCTGCTCGAGTCAATGGGACAGGTGGCCCCATTCCTGTAGAGTCCCTTGCTCAGGATTTTTATTACACACCAAAAAAAAAAAAAAGAAAAAAAAGAAAAAAAGGAGAAAAAAAGAAAATAAAAGGAAAAAAAGGGGGAAAAAAGGAAAAAAAGAGGGAAAAAATAAAAAAGGGGGAAAAAAAAGAGAAAAAAATAAGAAACTAAAACCCCGAGGTAAAAACCAAATGCCAGCCATCAGAAGGTGCCTGAGCTGCCTGAGCCCTGTCCTGTCATGAGTCCCTCCTCAGTTCAGAGCTGGGATGTCCCTGCCCGGGNCTTTCCCAGAATTTTTTTTTAACCCAAAAAAAAAAAAAAAAAAAAAAGAAAAAAGAAAAAAAAGAGAAAAAAAAAAGAAAATAAAAGGAAAAAAGGGGGGAAAAAGGAAAAAAGAGGGAAAAAGATAAAAAAGGGGGGAAAAAAAGAGAAAAAAAAAAGAAACTAAAACCCCGAGGTAAAAACCAAATGCCAGCCATCAGAAGGTGCCTGAGCTGCCTGAGCCCTGTCCTGTCATGAGTCCCTCCTCAGTTCAGAGCTGGGATGTCCCTGCCCGGGCTCTGCTCCTGGCTGTCCCCAGCCTCCCTCTGCAGCCACCTCGGGGGTGTCTCCTCTTCGCCTCCCCTTGCTCCGGGGGGGCTGAACGCCCGAACTCTGGCACAGCCGGCTCTGAGGGGTGGCCCAGGGCTTCCCCAGGGAGGCAGGGCTGGCTACATGCGGGAGGACGGGCTGGCCAGCTCGTAGAAGAGCAGGTAGGCATCGCTGCTGCGCACGTGGCTCGAGGACATCGGCGTGACGCTGCGGAGAGGGGAAGGGGACAGCTGTGAGCAGCAGGGAGGGGATGCCCTGAGCAGGGCGTCGCTGCTGGCTTGTCCCCCCCGCCAGGCTCACCGGGAGTCGTTGAAGGTGTGCCACTCGCTGGACACGGGGCTCTTGCAGTAGGCTGTGTAGTGTCCCCCCATGGTGGTGCCCGAGTGGTTGGAGACGGCGTAGAGGTTGTAAACGGCGTGGTCTGTGGGGAGCCGGGGTGCTGCTCAGCCCTGCTGCCCCAAAAAGCGCCAGCACAGAGCCCCCCACCATGCCAGCAGCTCCAGGGGATTCCGTGCCTCCCACCCCTCACACTTCTGCCCCCCACCAGCTGGGACACGAGGAGCCCGGGGGTCCCCAGGAGCTCCGGGCTGGGGTCAGACCAGGCAGGGTTTGGGACTCACTGCAGCTCTGCGAGGCGAATTCCCGCAGGTCCAGGTCCTTCAGCGGGAAGTTGACGAAGGTGGTGAGTTTGCTGCTTCGTATCCTGGCCTCGGAGAAGCGCTTCAGGTCTGGGGGGTCACGTCAAGGGGCCAAAGGGACAGAGGGGAGCCTGCAATAACCCATCTCCACCCCCCACAACAGCCCCTGTCCCCATCCCTCTGCCCGAAGGATACGAAGCACCAGGATCTTGGGGAACTTCTGGATGCTGAATTTTTTGGTGCACCTTGTCCTGGCTTTGCAGCGACAACACGTCTGTGGGAGAAAACAGCACAAGCAGGAGGGTGAGGGCACTGCCCACAGTCCTGGCAACACAAGCACGGAGGGGAAGGGGCCCAGCCTGCCCCAGGGAGCCCCGTACCGGTTTCTCGTCCCCATCCAGCACGTCCTCTTTGGTGAAGAGCCGGAGGCAATCCATGAGCGTCACCTCCCCGTAGCTTTTCTGTGGGGGTACAGTGATGGTTAGGGACAGGCAGCGTGGGACAGGGGGTGTGGGACAGGGATCGCTGGGGCTCCCTCACTGTCAGGGATCTGGGCATGCCCTGTCCTCCTTCTTTCTTCTCCCTGGCATCCATGTTCAGGATGATGTTGGCATGTGTGGATTGGTTCATGGTGAAGGTACACTTGCCAACAAGGTTGAAAAGTATTGGAAATAGAAGGTAAATATCTTATATGTGGTTTTTACTATAAAAGTGACCCCATGGGCGGGAGAGAGTGCCTTGGCTGTCTTGCTGATCAGACCTCGGCTGGACAGACAGAAAAACTTTGTAGATAAGGAACAATAAACTCAACTGAAGACCGAAAAGCAAGAGTCCAGACTCCTTTTTCAAAGCACGGCCTGCCCAGAACCACCTTTTCCCGTGTTGGGGCAGAGACAAGTGACAGCCGACCCCGGCACCTCACCTTGGGGATGGGCAGGGACAGGTCCCAGAAGGGGTCGAAGGCCGTGGAGCAGTAGCCACACTCGCTGCAGGTCAGAGAGCTCTTCAGCTGCCCAACGAAGAGGTCTGGTGGGGTGGGACAGAGCAGGGTGAGAGCCCTGGTCCCCTCCTCGCCCCCAGCCCAGCCGTGCCCTCCCTTCCCAGCCCTGCTCACCGCTGATGCGGCTGTCCTCCCTCTCCTGGTACCTCCTCCACATCTGCCGGCTCTTCTCGTCGTCACTGCAAGGGTGGGGACACAGCAGGCACTGAGCATGGCCCGGGGGACACCAGCCCCGCCGCCCAGCCCAGAGGGAGCTGTGAGGTCACTGTCCCCGGGCTGGCCTTGCGGGCAGTGCACTCTTCTGGGGCCTGTGAGGTGCCAGCACTTACGGGAGGTGATCCAGGGTGTCGGTGCTGGCCCGGGGCCGCACCAGCACGCGGTTCACCTCGCTGTGCAGCCCGTCCAGCAGGAACCGCAGGAACTCCTGTGCATCCTGCTGGCTGCAAGACACGGGGCACGGCCGGTGAGAGGCGGCAGGGGCTCAGCTCCCCCCGCCACCCTGCAGCCACCCCCCCTTACTTGTAGCCGACGAAGCGTGGGGCGTATCTCTGGATCTGCGTCTTGAACTCGGAGGGGCTCACGCTCTCGTTGGGGGATGAGGTCCAGAGCAGCTGAATCAGCTTTGCAAACTCTGCAGGCAGAGAGGCAGGTCAGCAGAGCAGGTGGCACGGCCATGCCCCCGTGGGGACAGCTCAGGGCCACACTCCGGGGTCTCACGGCTGGGCAGCCCAAGGAGGAGCACGGAGCTCTGGGCGGGGGTCCCGCGGGATGTGGGGCGTCGCAGGGATGTGCTGCAGGAACTGCTGCAGGAACTGCTGCAGGAATTGCTGCAGGAATTGCTGCAGGAGCTCACCCGAGGGCCGGGCTGGGCAGTTACCTGAGATGAGCGCCGTGCGCATGCGGCTGTTGTTGTTGAGGTCCCGCAGGTACTGGTTCTGCAGGCAGTAATCCCGCAGCTCCTTGGTGTTGCTCAGGCACTGCAGGATGGAGTTCATGAAGCACTGGGGGAGGCACAAGAGAAAACCATGGCAACGGGAAGCACAGGGAGGCAGGCCGTGGCAGGGGGACACCTGGGCTGGGCACAGGACAGGGGAAGCTTCTCCCCAGGCAGCGCCGTGGGGAGAGGGGTGCAGGGAGCTGCCAGGGTGGGGAGTTGGGGGGCAAGGTGAAGGGACAGGGCTCCCCCTGCCCCACAGATGTGAGCCACAGGGCTGGGGACACACTCACCGTGTTGCCGAGGTTCCGCAGGCCGGTCAGCCCCTGCACGGCCTTGGAGCTCTGCAGAGAGAGGGAACAGTGCTGGGAGGGTGGCGGGCTGGCCATGCCTGTGGGCAGCCCAGCGAGGCCATGGTGCCACAGTCCTGGCCCTGGAGCAGACGCTCAGGTGCAAGGAGAGGCCCCATCCTGCTGTGACATCATGGGCAGAGCCAGCACCGAGCAGCTCTCTGGGCAAGGGCCTGGTGACAAAGCATGGCTGGCCTGCCCTGTCCTGCTGGCCCAGGACTGTGCACAGGGCTCAAAGTTCTCCCTGCCTGGCAACGCTTTTGCCCCATGCCCTGGATTGCAGGTCAGGGCACTGCCTCCCCTGGGGACACCGGGGCATGGCAGTGCCCTGTGCCTGCTGCGTGCTGCAGGAGGAGCACAGTGCCCTGTCACTGCCTGCCTGCCTCGTGCCGGGTGTCCATCCCCGCCAGGACACCCTGCACAAGCGCAGCCCAGGCTTTGGCACAGCTGTCTGGCAGGATAAAGTCCACCTGGGAAAGTGCAAGCCCAGCCCTGGGACAGCCGAACCGGGGAACAGGGCTGTGTGCCCAGTGGTGCCTTCCCAGCCCTGCCTGTGCTGCACCTGTGCCATGGGGTGGCAATTCCAGGTGCTCCAGGTGCTCCCTGAGCTGGGAAAGCAAAGATGGGCATGGACAGCTGGATGCTGAGGCTGGGAACCATCATCACTCTTTGCTGGAGAGCACAGAGGGGTTTAGGGGTGCCAGCACCCCTCTCCCAGCATGCAGGACAGGATGCTGGTGGGGGGCACCGGGGGGAGCCCAGGGGTCCTGCTGCCAGCCCTGCACTGGGGAGCAGCAGGAGGAGCCTCCCCGAGCAGGGTGGGGGTCTGACAGGGCCTGCAGGGGCAGACTGCTGGTGGTGCTTCCCCGGATGCCCAGGATTTAAGGATCCTCAGGCAAACACCCCAGCTGCCCACCTGAGCCTTGAGGAGGAGGAGAGGAGGCGAGAGGAGGGGAGGGGGCCCAGCAGCTCCGAAATAGCAGCAGCTGGTGTGTGTGTGGGAGGTGCTGAGCACCCAGCCCTGACAGCAGCCCAAAATAACCCAGATCCAGTTACACGTGCTCCTTAGCGACGGCGCAGGCATCACCCACCAGGGCAGGGACCAGCACCAGCGGGGACCTGGCCGCCCTGCGTGGGCACACGTGGCCCTGCCGGACTGCCCGGCTGCCCTCTGTGCCATCGGGTGCCCCCACAGTGCCCAGAGCACAGGGGTGTCCCCAGATGGGGCTGCCCATGGCTGTCAGTGCCAGGGGGTTGCTGTCCAAAAGTGCCAGGTGCCTTCTTGGGCCGGGGGCAGGCTCGGTTGGGCACAGGGTGCCAGCAGGATGTGACAGGTCAGTGCCACGCCACGGCTGGAGGAGCTAGCCTGGCTCCTGAGCAGATGGCAGTGGGAGAGGTGAGCCTGTGTCCCAACAGCCTACATCCATCCCTCGGAGGATCTGAGCCCCAAGGCTCTGCTCGTGTCCCCACAACCACCCCAGGGAAGGTCACGGTGCCAGGGGCGAGCAGCACCCCCCAGGAGCTGCCCCAGTGTGCCCCGGCCATGCCCACCAGGACGTGCTTGTCCAGTTGCCCTGGCTGGACAGCCAGGAGGGACCGGCCAGTCCTGCCCGTGTGGGTTCAAACCTCCCCACAGATCCTGCCTTCCGCCACAGCCAGCTCCCAGGCTGTCCTCCCAGAGCCTGGAACAAGCCCAGGGGAGGGCAGGGGTGAGGAGGGGGTGTCAGGTGCTCCCCTAGC